GAGCCAGGTGTTAATGAGATGGGTTTTCCCCAAATCCTTTGGGGTAATTTTTACCCCAAAAGGAGCTGCAGTGTTTTGGTCTCTGCCTTTGGAGGCAGTTGGTTCTCCTGCCCATATTTTTGAGATAACAACATTAAATCACAACATTCACAGTGGACTTTCACTTAATGAGGAAAATCTCATGGCCTGATGGAAAATGGAGGTAGAGAGAGGGAGAGTCCGCATGAGCTTTGTGTTGCTGTGGGACAAAAGTGCTGTTCCTGTCTGGGGCTCTGCTGTTCCCATGTCAAACACGATGCCGTCTCTCTACCTAGTCATTGGAAAACAGCTGAAGCTCTAGTGATAAAATGAAGCTAATGTTTAAGGACAGAAGCACACTGTGCAGAGCTGGAAGGGGTTGTAATGGTGGGAAGGCATGAAGTGGTGGATCACTCCTGCCACCTATGCTATACTTAGACTTGAACAGACTAATGCTGGCTTAACCTTGTGTATAAAAAAAGGAAAAGCTGTGGGTCAGACTGAGACCTAGTTGTGGGAGACCTTGATGGGCTTCTCAGGGCAGGAGGAGAGCACCAAGCCCACAGGGAAGGTGTTCAGCTGGTGTCAGACCGGAGTGCCTCAGGTCAGAAACCGCTCTGGCTGGCAAAGGGGAAACACCTGCAGTCCCACCAGTGACCCTGCTCATGTCTCCTCTGCCAAGAGGCTGTCCACCAACAGCATTTCAGGGAGAAGGAGATTAAAAGAGATGAGGGGGAGCTCAGGAACAGGAGTCATGGGGTTATGCCAGGCAGACACTGCTCCCTATGCAGCTACCACAGCCCTTACCATTTGAGGCCTGACTCTGCCTCAGATGCCCTCTGCAACCTGGGCGGGGGCACTGGAGCCCAGATTAATTTAAAGGCCAATTCAGTTGCCTAAATTCCCTGGAGGGTGTGAGCCTTGGCTGCACTTTCATGCTGCAGCTAAATTGGTTTGGCAGCTGCTGAAAGTGGCAGGACCCCTCCTGCCTGACTCTCCCCTGAGGGGGTGTGCTCAGATCTGCAAGCAGCGTTAGCAGAATTAAAAATCTCAGCTCCTCCAACTTCTTTGCGCAAAGGGAGGATGCTCCTGTAAGTTCAGCTCAAGATGTGCAAACAACGATTAAAGAAATAATCAGAAATGAGACAGCGAAAGGCTGTCTGTTCAGTTTTCTGCAGGTGCTGTGCCTTGTATCACCTCCCCAGAGCTGACCTGTACCGGCTTCATGGTGCTGCTGGCAGCTGGGCAGCCCCTGAGTCTGACTGTCACTGATTCTGGCTGGGGTGAGAGCACAGATCACACAGGGGACAGATGAGCTTCCACCCTGCCATCCCTATGCCAACATCCTCAGCAGAGCACCTCCCTTTGCAGCACAGGAACCACAGCAACAGCTGGATGCCCCGGGATGCACTTTTCCTGCTGGAGAGTGCTCAGCATCGAGTTCATCAGTAAAAATGGCTGGGAACAATTGAACTTGAATATCAGATTTTCTCTCAGCATTTCTGCCTTCTTTCATTAGCACAAGTAATAGCTTCCTCCAGTCCAACAAGTTTGTCATTTTAAAGAGGCAAGGAATTATTTTTTTTTTACATTGTTCTAACACTTATTAGTTCTTTCGCTTTTTTTCCTTTCTCTGACTTCTTTTTTTTTTTTTTTTTTTTAAAGAATGGAGAAAGCAGACATTAGTCACACAAAAAAATCATTTTTGGATGTGTGTGTTTTTCATAATGGACAGTACTAACACCAGACAAACCACTCCCAGCAGAGAGCAGCAAAAGGTTAAGAGCTTAAGTAGAGGTCTAGGAGACTAGAAGCTAATAAATGAACTGTGCAGCCTCTCTGCCATAATCAGAGAGCCCACAAGCAGGGCTTCTGGAGTTTGCAACAGTAATGAGACTACCAAGGCTGTTTTCTGTAAGTTTGTGATTCTGCGTGCTGACAATGATGCAGATAAAGCCATTTGGATGCAGGACCTGCTGCAGAATAAATTTTGTGTTAAATCTGGAATAATCTTTGCAGGGATGCCTTTTAGTAAACATGTCCTGGAAAACTTAAATGATGCTGTGAATGGCTCAGCGTGGACTACTATGCTATTGATAAAATTTTCTGAATGGATCTTGGTATGTGTTTCAGTCTCTCACCTCCCTTGTCAATGCTCTTACCAGCATAAATTACAGCTCTGTGATACCTGTGAGGCCACTGAGTAACCCACTTAGCCAGGAGAAGACTTTTTTTCTATTTTGCAGGCTATGAATGCACTGTAAGAGGATAGTCTTGGCTTTGCAAAACAAGTGGAGAAAATTTTCCGTGAGTCTACATATGGGCAACAGTGAGAGATACGGAGGGCAGAAAGGATGAAACAGAAACTAGAGCACTTGTCATGGTGAAAAACTGTGAAGACAGACCATGTTTAGAATAAAGCACAAGTGAAATTCCTTGCTCTTGTTTTATAAAGGGAAACTTATCTTTTGACAAAAGTAATGGTAAAGTTCTCTACCAAGGCTTGTTACTGCTGAGTGCATACCATATATATAAAGGCATGCCTGTCACTGTGTCTACTTAGAGGTACAAGATGCTGCCAAATGGAAACGCTAGCTATGTTTGGCTTTATCTTGTGAGCTTTGCTAGACATGTACTGTCTTTCATTAACAATGTACAGCTTTTCACATCTTGTAGCTGCTACTGAAAAATATTAATAAAAGAGGCACACATTTCATCAGAGTGAAATCTATGCATTATGAAAGGCACTCTATGCTGCCACTTGGAGAAATGAGCATTTCAAAGGTATTTTATTTTTGTTACATTTGGCATTTCTGTCTATAAAGAAAACATTTGCTGATGTGTTTTGTTATTTTAAGGTATATTTTCTTGGGTCATTCTGACTAAACTTTGTTTGGCACATTCTTTAAGGGAAAACATTAGACAATTATATTGGAGGGAATGATGTGGGAGACTGTGTTTGTCTTCAAGGCAAGTGTTCTGAGCTGAGGCTGGAAAAGGGGAGCCACAGAAATGGCATTAGTTTGAATTACTTGTATTTTGTGCACTTCACATACCCCAGTTCTTAAGCACATTTAAAGAAATTTAAGACAGATCTTCAGGGGTCTTTTTTCCTCCTGTACTTGACAGGACTGCTAGTTGTGATTCAGTAAGCCAGCTTGCATTAGGTTTCATTATAGATTTGTATTGCTGATATGGAATGTAATTACTAAAATAGCATTGGAAATCTTTGCTTTTTCTGGTGAAAATTAAATTAAAGCATGATAATTTATTATTTTCTGAATGACTGAAATCTGGCTATTCCAAATGTAAGGACAGTCAGCTCTGAGCAAAACTGTTTGTTCCTTGCTGAAGAGAAAAGGCAGTGAGGGGGTCTTTAGTGTCTGGATCAGCATCGATGCTATGCTTGTAGGAGGTAGCTGATGTGATAGCTACGTCATTGCTTGCATGCAGTGATTTTGCACATGATGTTTTGAATTCTGCCTCTGTTCCCTGTTTTGCAAATGAAGATAATAACAGCTATGTATCTCTATCTCAAAAATTGAGGATGAGAATCAGTTCTGGACACACGATGTGCTTCATTCATGTGCAGGCTGTACCGTTATGCTGCAGGAAAGCAAATTTGTGGAGCTGGGGGGCTGCTGGGTATCTGCCACCCTTGCAAAGCACCCTCAGCACAGCCGGTCACAGTGCCTGGGGTGGCAGAAAGTCCTGAGCAGGGTAGGAGGTTTCTCAGTTAATCACTCCCAGTGTTCCCAGTGCTGTGAGTGATGCCTATGGACAGCAGGCAGCTACCTGCAGGCAGAGGGATGCTTCTGACTCCAGTGCTGGGGACTGGCTCACCGTAAATGGTGGGGGGCCAAGCCTCTGCTCTGCTCTGCTCTCCTTGCCATGGTGGGGTGGCTGGAGCCACCCAAGCTCCTCGAGGACAGCCACAAGCACCATGAGCATGGGTGGAGGGTTTCAGCTGTGGGAGGCTTTCAGAGTTCCTCTGCCAGAGCTGATTCATTTAGGTGCTGTCTACATTATTTTTTAGCTTTTTTATTTTTCACCCCAGTTATTTTTCCTGTGATGCTTAAAATGGTAAAGGTAAAACAACCTGTCTATAGCATACAGCCTATAAACCATAGCAATGGGAGGATTATGGAAAGAAGACAGAAGGAAAAGAGAATGGGAAGAAGTCTAAGAGAAACACAAGGAGATATGGTCTGTCCTGGGCTGTTAAGCAGCTAAATGTTTCCAAAAAGGGAAACCAGTTCTCAGGCTTGGGCCAAACCTCAGCAACCCAGAGGCTCCTGTTCCAGAGCTATCGAGCTGCTGCATTGTTGTTGCTAGTTATTTCTTCCATCCCTATACAACTGTTCCTTCTGGCTGATCCCAGGACATACCGGTTACTTTGCTGGTGAGAAGCCTATATTTGCAGGTAATATCCTACTGTGCAGCTCTCCAGCAAAGTTTTAGGGTTAAAGTCCCCAGGTCATTTATTCTTTAATGTTGTTCTCTTTCAGTAGCTAGTTCAGAAAAAAGTGTCCCACAACCGTTATTGTCTGCTCATACTGCTGCATACTGCCTGCAAGAACCACGCAGACAGCTAGCTACCTTGTACACTAGGTGCCTACAAATAAAAACTGCCACCTCATTTTCATGCAGAAATGTGTGCCTTCTCACTACCGACCACCACCTATCCTCCTGCCAGTCTTACCGGGATGCTTAGTGTGCTGCTCTGTCAGCTGACAACTGCCTGGCCATTAACCGAGGGTCTCTCTGGGAGCTGCAGACTCCAGCCAAATGAAATTCCCTTCCCGTTACTTGTCTTAGGCTGCATTCGCTGCCGACAACAGCTCTGCTGTACCTCTCCCAGGCAGCTGCCTTCGTGCTATGTGCAGAGCTCCCCAAGCGCTGCAGAAGGATGCAGTACTTAAAAGGGTATGCGGGGATATTCCGGCAAAGGGAGGAGATTTGTATCCTGCGATAAGAAAAGCCTAATAAATGCATATCTCATCCTGCTGCGACCTGCCTCTGCTCTCACGCTTGTGGATGCGAGTGCTGGAAAAGCAATCTGCATGTCCCTCCCCTGTCTTTGGTATGGTCAGAGAAAAACACTTCAGGAGTTTTGAGCATACTGCTGGGTGAGCAGTGCTGCACACAAACCATATCTATTGAATTATGTCTAAAGCTGAATTACTGCTCTTCGGTGCACTGTTGCCATGACTATCACATTTGCAAGGGAGGCTCTCACCTGCATCTCAGAGCACTCTGCAGCTGGCAGCCTCTGCACTGTCTCCTCCCTCTGGAGGTCCCAAATGTCACCGTGACACCATCTGTCCCCTCAGCATGCTCTGTCCTGGCAGAAGTGAGCAAAGAGTCAGAGACGGGGAGAGACCTTGCAGATGCTGAGCATCACGCTGGACTTGAGGGAAAGGCTCCTGGCCCTGGTTGGGGATGCGGGGGGAGAGGTGGTCATCCCCTCGTTCAACGACAGTGTTTGAAGCAGGTGCCTTATTAATGGTTGGAAATTGGAAGTGCCCAAGGAGACAAGGAAGGGGGAGTGATGAGGCCGAGGGCTGGGACAGCACAGCAAAACACTGGAAAAACACTCTCTGGCATCAGTCTCAGCCCCCTTTCCTCACAGCAGGTTAGGAGCTCGGAGATCTCTCTGTGCTTTCCTACATTCAAGTGTTAAACAAGGACAGTGATCCTTATGTCACAGAAGGCTAGATATATTTTATTTACAAAGTCTTGTGATAGAAGGCATTGCACAATGGGAAGCAGAGCTGACACACTTCATATGCCTAATGGTGTATTTGACTTTCTTTGAAATACATTATTTGTGATTTTAATTTTTCTTTTGCTCTGCCTGAAGGCCTATAAAGACTTCTGCAAAAAAATCTGAGACTTATTAACTAGAATAAGCCATTTTCTGTTGTGTTTTTGTTTTGTTTTGTTTTGTTTTTTTCTTTCTCTTAAAAGCACAATCCTATTGCAAAATTTCTGGCACTTGTCTCAGATGTTTCCTAATCAACTTGGCCTGTGGAAAACGTGAAGTCTTGTCGCTGCCACTTCACCCCACACTGCATTCATCCCTTAGAGAATGGGCAGGGTAAAAGCAGCAGCTCTTCCTTCTCAGGAAACCATCAGTCTCATTTGGCATAACCACTAAAAGGGGAAACAAAAGCAAAAAGCCAAAACTGAGATAATGCAGCTTATCTTCAGATTTCAGTGCTGGGGTTGGTTTGCCTGTGCTCTCTGGCTGACAGCCAGAGTTGGGGGTACCCAAGGAAGGGAGAGTGCCTGAGTGCCTGAGGTACTAGTGACATAAATCCAAGAGATTTATAAATCTTAAATAAGCTAAAGCAATCTGTGGAGAACAGTTTTAATAAGCTCAGTGCTGTTAGAATTAAAAGCCAAGCAAACAGTTCCAATCTGCTCTAACTGAATCTTCTGAGGTGCACTTGCAAAAAGCCCCAGTAAAGTGTATTTTAGTAATCCACCCTGCAAAAGAAAATGGAGTAGATGCTCATATGTTGTGGCAGTGGAACAGGCAGCCTAGATAAGGGGGGAATTGGTTACATGGGTGTCTGTTGCAGACTCACTCAGAAATGCAAAACCCTGCTGTTAAAGGTAAGTGCTGAAGAGTTTGTGGGGTTTCCTCAGAGAGGTCAGGCATCTGGAGGGGAGGATGCAGGGCAATGCTGAGGGGATGCCTGCGGCAGACAGCAGCTCCACAAGGAAAAAAGACACTACTGAAATGATACCAGTCTTTCTTACCAGAAAACCACCAGACAGAGAAGCAGAGAGACACTTCTGCACAAGGGAGCTGAGAAACTCACTGTTCAAGATTTACGTCATTTAAAAAAAACCAAACAAACCAAACCTCTGCCTCCTAACCTAGAATTAAGCTAGGCTTCAAATAGTGTTCCTGTTAGTCCATGCCCTCTGTTTCTTCAGGGTCAAGCTACAGTCAGCAATCAGAGGCAGATTAACAGAATTGTCCCTAGTCACAATTTAACAGGAAGCTCCTCCCAGAGATCTTTTTGCTAAGAGGCAACACACGTTGCCTCTAACCAGCTGCTCATGGAAATGTTTAGAAGGCAGAAAATGAGATTGGAACTCTCCAAAGCACATACGTGGGTGACTGAGTGCATGTGTACGCACACAGACACACACCCACGTGGCCAGAAACCGCTGGGAACTGGGATTCTTTGCTGCAGACAGAATGGTTTCTGGATATATATGGTAATGTAAAAGGTCACGCCTAGTCTGAACTGCTCAGTGCCTCTGCAGACTTCCAGTGACAGTTGCAGCTGCAGATGACTGAAATGTAGGGACGCTT